ATATTTTAAATAAACAAAAAATATTTATATAGCTTACTCTTTTTATTGTTTTTTCCCCTCTTCATCACCATTAAACAAAATTCTTTCGACCTTTTCAAGTCTTCCTGTTTTCTTTCCCACGCCTTTGCCCCACATAACAGCCTGGCTATCACTTTATGCAAAGAGTGTAAAGGCTTATTCATACTTAATTCTGCTTCTGCGAAATTGCATCAATCAAACTTGGAGATTGCTTTTACGGTCTTTCAGCTCTTTTCTAAGCAGCTTCACTACTTTCCGACTGTACTTCCTCAACTTCTGCATCTAAATCATTTCTAACCATCTTATTAAAATGAAGAAGAGATATTTAAGCCATGTCAAAGATGAATTTTTGTTCATTTTTAATTTTATGTAAGATTTCATTTTCATCTCTTAATTTAATAAAATAACTTTTTTGTCTTTTATTTCTAACATCGTTAACTTTATTAGCCAAAAAAAATACTGGTATTAAAATTTTAAACATTTACAAAACATTCATAAATGCTGATATATTAAATTTAAGAAAAAATAGAGATCCAGTTTCTTATAACTATTATATTGAACTGGGAGAATCCTAATTAAATCTGGCTAAAATATTAAAATTTAAATTAAGGTTTACACTTTTAACAAATTTTTAATCAGGCCAATGAGCCTAATTAGGGATTTATGAATATTGTTAAAGGATCAAAATGGCCCTTTATAATTTAAAAATAATATTATTAAAAAAATCAAATCATGAATAAATATTCTTTAATATTCCTTTCATTTCAGCTTCGAGTTCTTTTCATTTGACCAAAAGGATATTGGTTCAACTATGATGCTTCAGTTGTTGATTTCAAACTTTATTTTATTATGCACATTGCATCCTCAAAATTCAAAAAAATAATTATAAAAAAGGCAATTTCAAACCTTTCATATTTATTATGATCAACTTAAGATGGGAGTATAGAAAATTATAAAGAAGATAATAATTGAGATGTGAGTTTGTTTTTTTGGGGTCATTAAGTCCGTTTATTTATTTTTTTTTTTTTTCAATATGCATGGATACGTCAAGTTTTAGTTAGTATAAAAATTGAAAGCAAATTTTCAAACACATTAACTTATTTTTTTTTTTTTGGTTACATTAAGGCGGGATCGAACCCGCAACACACCCACCCAACACACACGCCACTCGGCCAAACAGCCAGTGGCACATTAACTAAATTTTAAATTATGGGAGAAAGACATACAACAACCGCTTCAATATAGATGGAAAGTCATACAAGGTATTTCTAAATTTGTTTCTTTTGGAATCTAACTATTTTTTTTAAAAAAATTTCTTCTTAAATAAATAATTAATATATATCTTATTTTGTTTCTGTATTTTTGCACATTATATTATATGAACTTAATTAATCTTCAGAGATAATGAAGTCCCTATTGTTCGCTTCCAACTTTGCCTCAACATACTCAGGACAAAGTTTTTCTATACATAAAAGACAAAAAGGTTGTCTAAAACAAGTATGTATGTGGGTACACAAATTAAATCATAAAAGTCACTGATAATCACGCGTACAAATTAAAGTTTAAATTTTGTGTTTAACTTATTTGTTTTAAGAAACCTACTCTCTAATTCTACTTTAATATAATTTTATTTGTGTACTTTTAATGAATTATTTTTAAATATATATAGAATTTAAAATAAAAAATAATTTTATAGCTATCTCTCAAATAAAATTATTTTTTTGTATACAAAATTATAAGTTAAAATTTTAAATTTGCATTGATAAAAAAATAATTTTGCACAGTCCAGATCTCAACAAAATAATCAATACCATATTACTCATCATTATAACCCGAAACAATAATCATCTCCCAATGTTGTATACAAAATCTAGCCATAAGGGTATGATGGTGATTTTAACATTTCCCAATTTCTCATGATGGGTCCCCAACCCAATGGATCTGTAGCTATATGGGGGAATTAATTCATCCCATGCGAACTTTGTGCAATATTGATCCATATACTCAGAGTTAGTTTATGGTACTATTTGGTACGAGAGAAATGAGAGGGAAGGAAAGGGAAGGGGAAAAAAAATTTAATGAACTCTATTTGAAAAATTGAAGAAGTGGAGTTTTGAAATTTTAATAAAGAGAAGAAGTAATATAAAAGAGTAATAAAAATTAATGAAAAGCTTTTAAATCCATTTTTTTAATTTTTTAAATTGAGCTTATTAAAAAAATTTTCCCCTTCCCCTCCCCTGCTCTCATTTTTCTTTATATCATACGGATCCTAAAACTAGCTACTAATCTTGATTTTAAAGACGCGTTATATGTCACATTCCCCAAATCACGAACACCGCAATAATTAAGAATGTCATATACTTCAAATCAAACTCACATCTCTCACTAAGATACAACACCTTGAGAGGGAGGGGCCTAGAGTTCATAGATTGGAGTTTCATCTGGCTGTGCGAAAATTGGAAAAAAAAAAAAAGGAGATTGATATGAAGGTTTATAAAAGCACTTAAAAATAAAATGAATATTTGTATAGTTTTTGCAAAATTTAAGAGAATTTACATTTATTGTCAAAAATAGAAGAAAAATATCCTTTCAATTTTCTCAAAATACAAAATATATGTCTAAAGGTTACTTTCTTATTTTTATTTTCTTGACCAATTCACGGAAGTCTTCCAATCTTTTTTCCAAGTCTTCTCACCTTTTTTTCCCCCAGTCTTTGCCTCAAATCCTTGTTAGTGGGATTAATAATTGATGACTATTACTGTTGTAATAGAAGTATTACAAAGACGTGCACCACATATATAACACCAATATAACTTTGCCTCAACAACCTTGATGAGTTCCCATTGCTTTTGAATTATTACTTTTTTCCTCAGGAAATTGCTATGAAATAGGTAACTAGTTAATGCCCATCGAACACGAAACGCTACAAGTGATACGCTATTCTCTGTGCAATTAATAAAATATTTTTAAACGCTAAAAATATAAGTTTAATTTTTTAAAAATAATAATTCTTGGCACACAAAATTATTATGTGAGACTAAAGATTTTATAAAATTAGGAGACCAAACTAGAAATTTATTTCAAGTTAGATGACTAAATATACTTTTTTTTCCCTTACCATCTTTCTTGCTGAGTGAACCTGAAAGTATTTCCCAGCATGTGTTCTAATGTGTGTGTCTGTTTACACACACACACACACATATTGTATGATACACACACATATACATATTTGTATGATACTTCAAAAAAAGAAATGTAAATTCCGAAATATATACTTTGAATTCTAAATCGTTGAGGGGGAAAAGACTGCGAAGTCTGAATGCAAATACTAAAATTTGTATTTATCTGAGAAGGAATATTGGGGGATCATATATGTATCAAGAAATTTGTAATATTATTAACAAATTTGATATAACAGTTAACAATAGGTTGTCCAGAAAATTCAAAAAAGTAGCATTTTATAATTTTAGTAATGCAGTCAACAAGTTCTATAATGTTATTATTTAATATAATTTAATCTTTGTTTCATGGAAAGTTTATAAAAACACTTAAAAATAAAATGAATATCTGTATAATTTTAGCAAAATTTGAGATAATTTGCATTAATTCTCAAAAATAGAAGAAAAATATCCTCGTAATTTTCTCAAAATACAAAATATATTTGTAAAGGTTACTTTCTTAATTTTATTTTCTTGACCAATTCACAGAAGTCTTCCAATCTTTTTTCCAAGTCTTCTGCCTCAAATCCAAGAGGATCGTCTCTCCCAATAAAAAAATAGAAGATATGAGAAAAAGAGAACGAAGTCTATAACACGCTGTGGACGGAAATTTCTTGTTAGTGGGATTAATAATTGAGGTGACTATTACTGTTGTAATAAAATACTACCTGGTGTTAATATGAGAACTAATTTAACATTTAATTTGATCATAAATATAAGATTCCAATCCACTTTGTCTTTCATATTTATTTATTTTTTTTTTAAGTAGACTTTATAGTAGTTGCACTTGTTAAAGGTTCCATCAAGTGGTAGTTTTAATTAATACACATAATTACTGAAAGTATTTTAAGAAAGATAACACATATTTATTACAAATAACTAACTTGACAAACTTTCTTAATCTATTTAACTTAGTCAATTAAGGATCGGAGGTAGTATTACAAAGACGTGGACCACATAACACAAACCCATAAGAATAGAGAGAGAGTAAAATAATTGCATTAATTATAACTTTGTCTCAACAATCTTGATGAGTTGCCTTAGCTTTTGAATTATTACTTTTTTCTCAGGAAATTGCTATGAAATGGGTAAATAGTTAATGCCCATTGAACACGAAACGTTGCAAGCGATACGCTATTCTTTGTGCAATTAATAAAATATTTCTAAACGCTAAAATATTAAGTTTAACTTTTTAAAAATAATAATAATTGGCAGACAAAATTATTATGTGAGACCAAAGATTTTATAAAATTAGGGTTAGAAGATGAAAGATATTTTATAAAGTTAGGAGACCAAAGTAAAAATTTATTTCAAGTTAGATGACTAAATATACTCTTTTTTTTTTTTTATCAAAGACTAAATATACACTCGTATAATTTTTTATGACCAAAACCTTCCCTGCCGAGTGAACCTGAAAGTATTTCCCAGCATGTGTTTTAATGTGTGTGTCTGTTTGTGTGTGTGTACATACATACATACATACATATATATATATATATATATATGAAATACTTCAAAAAAGTTGATCGATTTCATTAAAAAAAAGCATTGTAAATTCCGAAATATATACTTTGAATTCTAAATCGTTGAGGGGGAAAAGACTATGGAGTCTGAATGCAAATACTAAAATTTGTATTTATCTGAGAAGGAATAATAGGGGAATCATATATGCATCATAAACCTTGTAATGCTAGCAACAAGTTTAGTATAATAGTTAAGAACAGTTTTTTAAGAAAATTCAAAAAATGGTAATGTCCAATAATGATGGGTCTAAATCTTCAAGGTGATTAAAACAAACTAGGTAAATATATTCTTAGATATTGATAAATATGTCAAAAGATGGGTTGTTATAGTTCTTGAAGTCAAAGTCATGATTGCCCATTTGTTTATTACATTTTTAAAAAGACAAAACAAAAGCAAAAGAAGAAAGAAAAGTTCCACTCATCCACAAACACGTGAGAACGGATTTATATAAAGGGACGAAATAGAGTCGCCTTTCTCACGCATTCAGGTTGAAGCAAATTGACAGGCTCAACTATGTTTCACCTTCTTCTTTCGTCATTTCTGATCTGCAGCTTGGTACACCTGCAACAACCTGCCTATGCCATTAAAAAGGTAAGCAAGCATAGTTTGGTTTGTAATTAATTAACAGCAGTATTATTCTACTACCACGCACCTGGATCAACTAGGAGGAGTTTTTCAAGCTCAATCAAAAGTCATGGGTTCAATCCTTTGAGAACACAGTAGTATAGTTGGTAAGGTTGCCACCCATATGGGTCCTATTATGGCCGGATTTGAATTAGTCTGACTTGTAATTACTTGTGGGGTTGGCCAAGATATCGGATGCTCATGGTGTTATTCTTGTTGTGGTTGTTTATCACCTTAATCAATTTCATCTTGCAGCCATACATTGTATACTTGGGATCACATTCTCATGGTCCAAAACCTTCCTCTGCTGATATGGACTTTGCCACAACTTCCCATTATAATTTCCTTGCCTCGGTCTTAGGAAGGTGCATGCAAGTTTCATAGATCTCTGTGTTTGACTTATTTTCAAAGTTACTATTTCTCTCTTTCTTTTCGTTTTTTGGATCCTCATTCTCTTTTTTTAAATCAACCTCTAATTCATTTATTTTGAATGGTATAATTAGCCTTTCTCTTTCTTTAGAGAATCCTATGTTTTTAGTACTTATTTTAACAGTTACATGTTTGATTTGACAGCCATGAAAGGGCCAAAGAAGCCATCTTTTACTCATATAACCGGCACATCAATGGCTTTGCTGCATTACTTGAAGATGATGAGGCAGCAGAGATCAAGAGTGAGAGACCCGTAGCCTTGTGTGTGTGTGTGTACACATATACGATATTAAATATTGATAAGTGATGATTGATATGAAATGGTTGGAAAATGGACGCAGAAAATCCAAAAGTAGTGTCAGTGTTCTTGAGCCAATCGCATAAGGTGCATACAACCAGGTCATGGGAGTTTCTAGGACAAGAAAGAAACGGAAGAGTCAGAGCTGACTCAGCTTGGGTCAAAGGAAGATTTGGTCAAAATGTGATTATTGGCAGTCTCGACACCGGTAGTTAACTATTTGCAAATGAAATGAAGTCTGTCTATATATTACTTCTCTATGTCTCTCCATTTCACGACCAAGCTATTTAAGTTCCTATAAATCTGGAAACATTTGCAACCAAAATGAGAATTTTTACCATTGAGTTGTTTTATTGGATATATAGGTGTTTGGCCAGAATCCAGAAGCTTCAGAGATGATGGGTACGGTCCCATTCCAAGGAAGTGGCGCGGTGGATCAAAATGCGAGCTTTATAGTCCACGTAACAGAACTCTTTGCAACAGGTTTGATCAAAACTTGAGTTTTCATAATTTAAAAATATATACTTCTCTGGTCCTATTTATAGGAGATTTTTAACATGTTTTTACATAAGTAAAAAGAAAATTTAAATTACATTAACTCTACTTTAAAATATAATAATTTTTTAATTTTAGTCATGTTTAATACATACACTTTCTAAGGAAATAACAATCTATCTTATAGTAAATGAAAGACAAAATAGTATATTCATGTTTCAAATTTAATAACGTAACTTATAAATAGAGTAAAAAAAATCTTAATGTGACTTGTAAATGGAATAAAAAAAATTCCCTCTGCCCTGTGAACAGGACAAGAGAAGTATGACCTGGACGTAAAGTTTAAACGGTTGAGATCGAGAATGATTTATTACATTTAGTATGCATATGAAATAGGAAACTCCTTGGAGCAAAAACCTTCTACAAAGGGTACCAGATAAAACACGGGAGCCTTGACCATACAAGCGCTCGTGACTTTGCCGGACACGGAACCCATATTTTGTCAACGGCCGGCGGCAACTTCGTTCGAAAAGTAAGTGTTCTCAACAATGGGAATGGAACAGCCAAGGGAGGATCTCCAAGAGCTCGTCTTGCTGTGTACAAGGTTTGCTGGGGGAGTCATGGTTCTGAACGTTGCACTGATGAAGATCTGATATATGCTTTTGATCAAGCCATCGATGATGGCGTTGATATTCTCTGCGTTTCGCTTGGTTCGGCGACTCCTCTGCATATTGATGACTGGTCCATGGGTGGCATCTCCATAGGATCGTTCCATGCGGTTGCCAGAGGAATCGTGGTTGTTGTCCCGGCGGGCAATGACGGGCCAAAACTTCAGACTGTTTTCTCCGTGGAGCCTTGGATCTTCACTGTTGCTGCTGGCTCCATAGACAGAGAATTCAGCAGTAATATTACTCGTAGTAATGGCCAACGCTTTAAGGTCGTATCGCTTCTCTTCTTTCAGATTTATTATGGTTATTATTGAGATTAATTATGTGTTATGATTAATGAAATTAATTATATATTATGATTATTGACATTAATTATATATTGATCAGGGCACAAGTCTTGCCCCGAACTCGTCATCTCAGAGGTTAATTCCTGTGCGCGTAAGAATGAATTTCACTATTCATGATGCCCAGTGTGTTATAAGCTCTCCAATATTGCAGGAACCCATTTGCATTTATGAAAAATGCAAAAACAATTATACCAGTAAGACCAGCTCCAAGAGTTTCTGCATTCTCAGCAAGGGGACCCAACATGATTTTTCCCTCAATTCTCAAGGTTATCCATTCTCACATTGTCTAATTCCCCCGTTCATCAAGTATTAAACTTCTTAACATTCTTTTTTTAAAACATTTTTACAGCCCGATCTAACTGCACCAGGCCAGGATATAATTGCTGCTTATTCACCTGTTGCAAGTCCTACAGGCCTAGATTCAGATGAAGCTCACTTTGACTATAATATTCTATCCGGAACTTCCATGGCATGTGCTCATGTTTCTGGTATTGCTGGTCTTCTAAAAAATCATCATCCTAATTGGAGTCCTGCAATGATCAAATCAGCAATCATGACCACTGGTATAACATGCATTAGTCTCTGTTTTCATGTTTACAATTTGCTTTCTCTCCTTTTCTAATGAGTGTAAAAAATCTATGTTGATATAGCAAGCATACTGGATAACACCTTTAGACAGATTCTGGATCAACAGGATGGTCGAGTAGCAACTCCATTTCATTATGGTGCAGGCTTTGTCAGACCCAACCTTGCTATGGACCCTGGACTTGTTTATGATCTCAGCCCTTCTGATTACCTGAACTTTTTATGCTTTTCTCGTTACGAGGGAGTATTACTTCAAGTCTTTAATTATAATAGGCCATACAGATGTCCAAGGTCTTACAAACTAGAAGATTTTAATTACCCTTCTATCACATTGCCTTTTCTGGGTATGAAACCTGTAAATGTTACTCGTATGGTAACAAATGTTGGGCCTCCAAGTACGTACACTGTAAATGTCAAAGCCCCTCGAGGAGTTAAGGTTGTTGTTCTTCCAAGAACTTTGACTTTTCAGAGGACAAACCAAAAGAAGAGCTATATGGTTATTTTGCAGGCATCAAGTTTAGCCCAAACTTCAGACCCTTCATTTGGAGAGTTGACTTGGACTGATGGCAAGCACAAAGTGAGAAGTCCCATAGTAATCCCTCAATATGAGAAAATGGCTATATAGAATTCAATGTGTCCAATCCTTTGTTTTTGCGAAATAGTGAGGTACTAGTGTTAATTAGTGTGTGCTCATATATGAGTCCCAAAAGAGACATCTTTGTCAATAGGGAAAGCCACGCATCTCGAACCAGATTAGCCGGATGATAGTATAAAAAAAATGTGTGCTCAGTGTGTGGATGTACTCATCTTTGTCATTTTACAATAAAGTGGCTAGCGTATTCGATAGGACCTCTCGCAACCGGCTTCTTAACTTCTGCTTTTATATTCTATACTTTATAATTTTGCTAGCTCCTTGAACTCAGCCTTGAGCCAAAAAAAAAAAAAAAATGGATGCACGCACAAGGATTTCCTCATTGAGGAGCCACACAAATGTAGTGTGGTCCATTAGTCAAAAAAATCTCTCTTCTAATAGGTTAGTCTTCTGAAATTGAGTTCTCCCTTTAAACTTGTATTTATAACAAAGGTACTTTCATTGAAAGCACGATATAAACAAAAGAGTTTAAAATGACACTCTGAGAATCATATGGAATGATATATAATTGGTAATCTAAAAATTAGTCATTAATGTTGACTATAATATTTATATATAATGTCATACTATTCACATGTTGTGAAGTGCAAATAAAATAGCTTGTTTCTCAAGGCTCTAAATGTACAGGTTGCTGGTCGGGTGGGATGTAGAATAATAATGAAAGTTATAAATGACCAAGAAAAAGAAACAATGAAAGGAATGGGACGGATGAAATGAATCATATTTTGCATGGTATAAAAAGAAATATATGCATGTACTTTTTCAAAAGAGATTTAACCAAATCATGAGGGAAAGCACACTATGTTCCATACTCCATGCCTGATTATATTGCGGTATTGCAATATTATATGCGCCAAACATTATTTGTTAATGGATTCCTTTTGTTTTTTTTAATTTTACGTTTCTAGGAAGATGCCAAACATGGTCACAGTCCTAACACAAGAAATCTTCACAAAATGATTTCCTTTTTTGTTTGAAAAAAGGCATACTTGGGATGTTGAGATACTTATGATGACCGATGGGCGCAAAACCCTTCGTTTGCTTTCAGAAAGAGATTGCTTTTCCAAAATATTGGAAGTTCCGTGGTGGGCATATTCTACCTTTCAGGAGAATAAAAAAAATAATAATAAAAGAAAAATTCATAGTCAACATAAAATATGAAGTTTATAACGAATCGTAATTAATATATATATATATATATATATTGTGCTAGTCCTACATTAGGCTTTATGCAATTTTTCCAATTCTGTTATATGTTCACTTTGCGATTGGGCAGGAAAAGGTTGAACTTGGCCAACAAAATATAGTTACGATCATATTTTTTTTATTTTATATAATTTAAATACACACACAGATAAAGCTTTTCCATGTTGTACAATAAAGCTTTGGTTGTCTGCCGGCTTCTCTGGAAAAAGAATATTTGGGACCCAATAATCCTCCCACATTCCTATAGAATTTCCTCTGCCAAGGTCCCAGAAGAGGTCCTTTTTGAGAGGTAGTCTCTACCTTCTAGTATACTTGACCACCGCCAAGAGGCCTTATATGGCCATTTTTTGCATCCACAAATTCATCTTTAGGGAAGTAGACACTTTTTAACGGGTTATTCAAGTGTCTCCACGCAGTTTCAGCTAGTAGAGCACGTCCAAGCATGTGTTTCCTGGGAGAGGGGAGGATTTATTTCTGTTGCACATATAAATATTATTATTGCAATCCTCGGCAGTTACGTTCTTGCTTGCACCAAATATTATATTCTTCGATTATTTCATTGTTCATTAGGGCCTTCCTTTATTTTGACATCCCTCAAATTAAAATAATCACGTCAGCGAATCCCCTATCTCATGAAAGTTTGCAACCGACCTTTAGAGAGCTCCCCTCCATGGCTCCATATGAGGATGGAAATCAGTTTGGATGAGTGATGAGCATTTAATATGATTTTATTTTCATATTTTTTATAAATATCTTTTAATAGATATATCATTTGAAATAACCACTCTGATAAAAAAAAATTATATAAAAAATTTTAAGTTAAAGATTTTAAATTCAGATCGTTAAAATCAATTTAGATGGCTCACATCTCATACTGTGATGAAAAAGATGATCATATCCCTTGCAGGAATGCCTTGGTCTGTATAAAGCCTAGCCACAAGGATAAGATGGTCATTTTTTCTTGCCTGGCTTTTCCAATATCTCAAGCTGAGCCCCCAACCGAATGGGTCTCGGGAAATTCATCACATGCCAACTTGGGATAATATTCTTGATGCACACGGTGGTTAATTGAGAACTAGCAATTGCTGGCAAAAAGCAATTTAAAACTAAAACAACAATTTAAAACTGGCAATTAGCCTTAATTTTAAATACTCATTATATGTCGCATTCTACGGATTGTGAACATCATAATAAGAATAACATGCTTCAAATAAACATAACATCTTTCAAACTCATTTTTTCACTAAGAAACAACACTTCGGAGATTGACTAAAACATGTAACCACATCCTAGAAAAATCCAACGTACAAAATTCGTCTCAACGACCAAATCAAGCAATAAACACAATGACAAATTTACACAGAGATTCCAAAACATCACCAAATCGAAACATTTGAATACTTAAAGTTGCCACAATGTTCTAAAGCCTCATCAGAACTTCCTTCCAATCAAAGGTGCATAAGCATCGAATCAAGCGTCTGGGGTGCACGTGAGTCTTGAAAATCTGGAATCAACTACCTATTACTTCAAAAACAAGCATCAACAAGAATCTTCTAAGCATGAGTTTCTTTTTTAAATGACAATTAACTAGCAAAAAGAAAACGCAACCTTAGACCATAAAGCTAAATGCTGCTGTTGAAACAGCAACAACATTTGATAAATGAGGAACATGAATTTAATTTGGACACCCAAATATTTTAAAGATAGATCTGGGCATTTTAATTGTGTTAGAATAAAAGATTAATATAGTTCGATCTAAACTGTTGAAATTAACATTGCATTAATACATGAACGAAGCCCTAACTTTCATTATGCATTTGATTTAGGAAGAAATAAAAAAGAACAATGAAATCATTACAACACTTACTAATGTGTACAAAAATAAAAATTGTTATAAAAGAAAACTTTCAATTTAAATAGGAAAAAAAATAACTTTATAACCAACCTGGAGTTGTAGCATATTTCCATTTAGTGGAATCTTCGTAGCTTTATGGCCACGATGACATAGATTCGATCGAACACACCATTAACAAATTGAAAATAAGTGTGCCTCCATGTCCTGCTCAAGAACAAAGAACCACAAACTACCCAGAATCCCATGGCAAAGCCCACTCCCATTCCAAGATACAATGACTTCAAAAAAGCACCATCATCATTTTCTTCAACCTGCTCTGTATTGTTTGTTTTTCCTTCTACTGTGCAGCTCTTTAGAAGAGGAGGTCCACAAAGCTTAGGATTTCCAATGTAACTCCATGTATCAAAACCCTGAATCTGAGTTCCAAGTGGAATTGGTCCGCTAAAATGGTTGTAAGATAGATTCAAAACACTCAGAAAAGAAAGGTCAGACAGACTCTGAGGAATATTCCCATGAAGGTTGTTATGGGATAAATCAAGAGATTCTAGATATTTCATCTCTCTAATTTGATCCGGCATCTCTCCTGTCAAATTATTATAGGACAAGTTTAAAGATTGTAAATTAATGAGCTTGGCTAATGGTATAGGAATTTCTCCCGATAGATTGTTAGCTGAAAGATCAATATTTCGAACCAACTTCAGAATTTTATCATACTCTCGTTGTTGACCCTTTGTGTGCAACTCAATTTTCATGAATGCATGTGAAGTTGGGATGACATATACTGGAAAAGCTAATTCATTTGCTGAATCTCGTTCACCAGGAAATTCTAAAAAATTGGTTGTGTTGAGTAGACAAGGAGGGATTGGCCCTGAAAGTTTGTTATTGGCAAGGTCCAATACAATCAAAGAGAGACTACACAGCCGTGATGGAATGTTGCCCGTAAATTGATTGGATCTCAATTCCACAACCATTACATTTTCAGGCAACCACAATGTTTGTATACTTCCAGAGAAGTTGTTTCCTCCTAAATTGAGCAGCACCAAAAATGGGAAACTATGGAAAGTCCAAGATATATCACCAGAAAAGCCGTTATTATGTAGATCTAGCGCCCTTAGATTATATAATGATGAGCCCATTGTTGATGGAACATGACCAAATAGCTGATTATTCCCTAAGTATATACAATTCAAAAGTTTCCAATTGTCCCAACAATCTGGAAGTTCTTGGGTGAGAAAATTATTTGATAGGTCCAAATACTCCAAAACAGTTTGGTTACTTTCAGTGTGACACAACAAAGGAGATAAAGGTCCCGAGAAAAAGTTAGAAGATAAATCCAAAACTTGGACCCCATCTGATACTCGAGGAAGCTGTCCTGTGAATTTATTAAATGACATAAATACTTTCAAACCGGATAGCCAGAAGCCCGATATGTGCTTTCTAATTGGGCTGTGAGAATTATTATGGCCAAGGATTTTTGGGAGTGTACCACTCAACTCATTGAAGCTAATATCCAAATATCGTAAAGATGATGATTCGTTTACGATATTAGAAGGAATAGAGCTGTTAAATGAGTTATTAGATAGATCAAGGTAACTTAATCCATCAAGCTGGCCAAGCCAATCAGGTATTGATCCTTCGAGTTTGTTGTTAGATAGATCTAAGAAATTCATATTTCGATAGCCTGAAAAGTCTGGAATTTGACCTCTCAAGTTGCATTGACTGAGATGAAGATCGGAGAGATCTTTGCTGAGATTGAACAACCAATTAGGTAATCCATGTCCAAAATCATTTAGACCAAGACCAAGGTATGAAACTGAGCTAAAATTGGCATATTGGAGAGATCGAATAGAGCTGGTCAAATTACAATCATGCAAATATAATCTCTCCAGAGGTAGCAAAGCCAACGATTGCACCCAATTTGTTTCACTAGGAAGATGAATACCACTGAGATCGAGACTAGCTAGGGCGGGAAGTCGAGAGGGCCAATAATGAAGATTATCCATGTGAAGATGAATATTGTCTGATAAACTCAGTTGAGAAAGCTTAGAAGAATTTGCTGGCAAATGACTTCGAGTTGCGAAGGAATTATTGATAGACGGAATGCTTATGCGTTCAAAGTCATTGGAGTCCAAATACAACACTTCAAGAAATTCAATTGCAAGTAAATAAGATAAGTTGATTTCACCTCTCAAGGATGTTAGATGATTGTAGCTTGACAGATCAAGAGCTGCGACTCTATTGTCGTAGTCACATGAAACTCCTTCCCATTGACAGCAATCTCGGAGAGTGGACCAAGAAGAGAGGCGGTTGGAGGGATCAACAACGCCTTTTTTGAAGCTTAACAGTGAACTTCGATCCCTCTCATGGTAGCAAATGATTGTGTTGAATCTCACTGCACATAGCAACACCAACAAAATGAGACATATTTGTGATGTAAAACGAAGAATGATCATGATGGTTGTTTGATTAAGAGACGAAGTAGCGATGAAATCTGTTTCTTCAAGTTCTATATCTCTAGCAATGTTTATATATGGTGAACTTGATGTTTGGTTATTTATTTCAAGGGAGAATTACATGATTTTTTTTTTGTAATTTTGTTGAAACTATATTTTTTTGGGGAAAAATTTTACGTACAGCGCGCTAAAATTTTAAAAAAATATATTGCACGAATTTTTTCCTCCAATTTTTTTCACAAATTTCTCTTTATTTTCAAAATCTATAAAAAATTCCAAAAAAAGCAAAAGATAAAATACACGGACTTGTTTTAAATGGTTTTTAAGATTTAATTCCCTTCTATTTTCATGATAAGTTACTTTTGAAAGTGGAGACTGGATAGGAGGTTTTTATGATTAAAAAACAATTGAAGAAGATTGATATGATGATTATTATCTTTGTTTTAAGGAAGGTACAAAAGCACTTAAAAATAAAATGCATGTTTGTATAAGTTTAGCAAAATTTAAGAGAATTTACTATAATTCTCAAAAATAGAAGAAAAACTCTGCGTAATTTTCTCAAAATACAAGAAATATTTGCATAGCTTACTCTTTCTTGTTTTTTTCTCTTAACCTTTTCACAGAAGTCTTCCAACCTTTTTTTCAAGTCTTCCGATCTTCTTTTCCTCGTATTTGCCGCAAATCCAAAATGATCGCCTCTCCCTATAAAAAATGGGAAGATATGAGAAAAAGAGAAGTAAATGACACGGTGGGGGAAAGAAAGTAATCCTTGTTAGTGGAGTAGTAGTTGATGACTCACTTTTGTAATAAAATACTAATTACAAAGACGTCCACGACATAAAGCCAACACAAGCATAGAAATTGGAAAAGGGTTCAGCTAGTTAACTTTTTCTCAGGATCCCTTCCCATTGCTTTTGAATTACTTTTTCTCAAGAAATTGCTATGAAGTGGCCGTGATAGTTATCAGTTAATGCCCCCATTAGTCTATGAAAAATTTTTAAGTAGTGAAATATTCCGCCACCTCAAGAATGCTCCCTCTCGTTCTATGGAAGAAGTATTTGGATCAGCATGGTTTTATTTAACTAATTTCTTATTTTTATATTATCTTCATTATATTGATTAATCATTTATTCTCTGCTTTTTTTTTGCCAGACATACCCTCTCTCTCTCATACTTTTTCTACTCATTCTCTTTTTTATGAGTGATGATTTTTTTTTGGAAAAAATATTTTCATTTATTATCTTTAATTCTTTTTTTTGGGCAATATTTATTGTCTTTAATTCAACATACAAGATACAAACAATATTTGTATAGGTTACTCTCACTCAAGATGCCGTACTTTTTCGAGTCTTTTTTTTTTTTCCACAAATGTCTTCCCACCTTTTTGCCAAGTCTTCCTATCCCCTTTTTTTGGGCCATCAAGTCTTCCGACCTTCTTTCCAATATCTTTGCTCCAAAGTCTATCACTTTTTCTTTTTGTACACGGATTTTTTTTATTTTCATTTTCAAAAAATAGAATAATATAAAATTATAATACAAACATCTAATGTTCTGAAGTATTTTTTTAGTAGCATTCAGTATTGCTAAACTAATTTTTTTCGTATCCAACACCTTGAAATATTTTTCAATAACACTCAGTATGAATGAAAAATAAATTTACAATATTGAATGTCACTGAAAAATTATTTAGGATATTGGATATCCATCCCCCAAAGCCAAAAGGGATGGGCACTCTTTGCTCATCAATTTGATGAGCAGGGAATGAGCACTCGAAAACTAAGTGAAATTTGCTTTTGGAGACAATACTCCTAACAACCTTTTTTGGGAGCCATTCCTAACAAACTTGTTTTTTTTTTTGCGCCGGTCATACGTTTCAATTTTTTCGTTAGTTTTGTGTAGTTTAACAATTAAAATTTTCATTAATTATATGGTTATATTTATATAAAAATTAAATATGAAATTTAATTTTTGTTTATTTAAATATTAATCTCTTAACTTTAGACGTTAATTAAGTGATTCTTTTGAATGAATTTTAATTATTTAACTAAATTGAACCCTTTTTTTTAATTAAGAATGTTTGTTTCTTTTAGAATCTAAACTTTTTTAAAATTAAAAAAATTCTCCTCAATATCTATCTTATTTTGTTTCTGTATTTTTCCAAATTTTGTTATATAAACTCAATTAATCTTCAGAAATAATGAAGTCCCAGTTGCTTGCTTCCAAGTTTTCATCAACACACTCAGGACAAAGTTTGTCTGAAACAAGTATGTGGCCACACAAATTAAGCCATAAAAGTCACTCATAATCACGCATACAAATTAAAGTTTTCATTTTGTGTTTAACTCATTTGTTTTAAGAAGCCTACTCTCTAATTCTACTTTAATATGATTTTATTTGTATGCTTTTAATGAAATATTGTTTAACAGATAGAGAATTTAAAATAAAGAAATAAATTTACAGCTATCTCTCAAATAAAATTATTTTTTTCGTATACAAAATTATAAGTTAAAATTTTAAATTTGCATTAATAAAAAAATAATTTTGCACAGTCTGGATCTTAACAAAATAATCAATACCATAGTGCTTATCATTGTAACCCGAAACAATAACCATCTCCTCATTGTTGTGCACAAAATCTAGCCATAAGGGTAAGATGGTGATTTTAACCTTTCCAATTTCTCAAAATAAAAAATATATTTGTAAAGGTTACTTTCTTAATTTTATTTTCTTGACTAATTCACAGGAGTCTCCCAATCTTCTTTCCAAGTCTTCTGACCCTTTTTTTCTTCCCAGTCTTCGCGTCAAATCCTTGTTAGTGGGATTAATAATTGATGACTATTACTGTTGCAATAAAAGTATCACAAAGACGTGGACAACACATATAACATCAACCCATAAGCATAAAGAGACAGTAAAATAATTGCATTAATTATAACTTTGTCTCAACAACCTTGTTGAGTTCCCATTGCTTTTGAATTATTACTTTTTTCCTCAGGAAATTGCTATGAATTGGGTAAATAGTTAATGCCCATCGAACACGAAACGCTACAAGTGATACGCTATTCTCCGTGCAATTAATAAAATATTTTTAAACGCTAAAAATATTAAATTTAATTTTTGAAAAATAACAATTCTTGGCACACAAAATTATTATGTGAGACTAAAGATTTTATAAAATTAGGAGACCAAACTAAAAATTTATTTCAAGTTAGATGACTAAATATGCTTTTTTTTTCCCCCTTACCATCTTTCTTGCCGAGTGAACCTGAAAGTATTTCCCAGCATGTGTTCTAATGTGTGTGTCTGTATATATTTATATATATATATATATATATATGATACTTCAAAAAAAGAAATGTAAATTCCGAAATATGTACTTCGAATTCTAAATCGTTGAGGGGGAAAAGACTATGAAATCTGAATGCAAATACTAAAATTTGTATCTATCTGAGAAGGAATATTGGGGGAATCATATATGTATCATGAAATTTATAATACTATTAATAAATTTGGTATAACAGTGAATCATGAAATTTATAATACTATTCATAAATTTGGTATAACAGTGAATAATAAGTTGTCCAAAAACATTCAAAAAGTAGCATTTTTATAACTTTAGTAACGTGATTAACAAGTTTTGTAATGTTATTAATAGAAAATAATTTATTAAACATGAAATTTAATTTTGTTTACTTAATTATTATCCTCTTACTTTTACACGTTAAAATGTTTGTTTTGAACGAATTTTAATTATTTAATTAAATTGAACCGTTTGATTTTATTAAGGATATTTGTTCCTTTGTAATCCAAACCATTCCAAAACAGAAATCTTGTTCTTCTTAAATAAATAATTACTATCTACATTTTTTGTTTTTGTGCTTTTCCAAATGAAATTATATTATATAAACTTAATTAGTCTTCATATATAACGAAGCTCTGATTGCAGAGTTTTTGTAATAAATAATGAAGCTTTTGTTTTTCTCTCTGTTTGTTTGTTGGGGTTTACGCGTGTCATTTTCATCTGTTTAACTTGCTTTTGGTTGTGTTTAAGCTTTTTGAGGCCCTACTGATAGATCTTTATTATTTTACACAGCTTGGTGATTTTTTAAGAATCTTCAGCAGTTCCCACTGCTTTTGAACTACTTTTTCTCAGGAAATTGCTGTGAAATGGGTAATAACTATATAATGGCCCGTCCACGGTCCCTTTGAATAGCTATGAATTACTTTTGAATTACTCCTTATCAGTTCTCATTGCTTTTGAATTATTTGTCTTTATCTGCGTTAAGACTGAATTATAGTAGTTTCAATCCTTAATATAAGAGCTGGTTTGAGTTTTATTTTGATTCTAAATATAAGATCCCAATCTATTTTGTTCCTCATATTTATCTATTTGTTTCAAAACAGTCACTGTGATAGTTACATATATTAAAGATTCCATCAAATATTAGTTCTAGCTAATGGTATTCTAAGGAATTTAACTTATATTTATTACAAATAACTAATTCAACAAACTTTTTTAATTTACTCAAATTAGTCAACTAACTTTTTTTTTTATATTAAGTAATGGATGTAGTAAATATAAAATGATTTGGAGACAATTATTCTCCTTCCATTCATTGCTTCTACCCCACCCATCATCCGCGCTAGAATTTATATAATTAACAGCAAAATCTAAATGACACAAAAATTTGTATAATTATTCAACTTTCCATGAATGTTACGCCCTCCATTTCTATTCATAAAAAACACTTCCCTGAGAAAAGGGCATGTTTCTTTTTATAAGAGAAATTTTAAAGATATTTTTTTAAAAAATAATTAAATCACATTTTTTTGCTTATTTATTATTTTTTAACCAATTTTAACTAATTTTCTGTTCAACGGGTTTTGGTTAATTGTCTCTTATAATAAACAACGGAGGAAGTAGTGTTCTCGGCAGTTGAGTATTTAAATGAATATTTCAAAGATGAAAGAGTACTTCAATTTATGAATTTTAATTAATACTCTTTCTTATTGCTAATATAAGAGCTAGTTAATGGTTAAATTTAATTCAAAATATAAAATTTCAGTTTATTTTGTCTCCTATATCATTTTTTTTAAAACTAATTTATCTAACTTATAAGTTAATATAGAATCTAATTTTATACAGGATTACTTCAGGGAGATTGCATCACATTTCTAAAAATTAACTAATTTATCTTATTTTTTTAAACTATATAAAATTAGTTAAGTAGCTTTTACGTTAAAAATTAGAAGAAATAAGAATCATTCGTCATCAAAGTAATTGGAAAAAACATCCTCAATTTCAAATCAATCACCACCATCGATTGCCGCGGCAAGGTATCCTCATTCCTGAGCATCACCACGCAATAATAAATATCTCTCACAATCCATGCATGCCGCGGTGTTAAATACATGCATGTGATATTTTCTCCGTTTAATTTCACCCATGTAATATTCTATACTGTAACATCTTTTTCTTTTTCCATCTCTCCTTATTGAAGGATAAAGTTGTCAAGTAAATAATTAATATCTTATTGAAATTATAGCATGACCAATGTTTGGAAACAAAGCTAAGCACCCAAAATTAATAAAACTTACAGCAAAAATTAACATAAATTTAGTTTGAAAGATTTTTTTGAGCTACCTTAAACTTTATAATATTACTCCATTCGGTTTTTAATACAAAAGCTTATTGAGATGTTCGTTTTGATTGTAAATATAAGACTCTAATTTATTTTATTTTTTAAATTTATAATTTATCCTCAAACCATACATATTTATTGCGAATATTAAATTAGGGCTTTATATAGAAGTAGCTCCAATTACAAATAAGTAAAGAGGATATTTTAGATAAATAAAAAATATTTGTACAGCTCACTCCTTTTATTGTTTGTGGGTTCAAGTGCAATTTTAACCATGATCTTATTTTTTATGTGTAATTTTGTCTCTAATCTTTTAGTAAAGTAATTTTGCCCTTAGTCTTATTTTTCAAATACAATTTTATTCTTGATTTTTTCGGGTGTAGTTTTGCCTTTGATTTTTCAGTGCAATTTTACCCATCAGGATCAAAACTGCACCCCAAAAAAATCAGAGTCAAAACTGTACTATTAAAAAGATTAAAGTTAAAATTATAACTAAGAAATAGGATCAGGGTTAAAATTACAATGGTTGGCACAAAAATATCATTATCTAAGATTAACTGGGTTAGGGTTAAGTACTGGGAAAAATATTTTATAAAATTAAGAAATAAAATGAAATCTTGTATAAAGTCAAAAAAAATAAATCTGCATTTTTGTCTTGAATCATTAGCTATGTTGTGAATGAAAAATTTTCAAATCAATCCTTATTTAAAAACATGAATTGAAAAGATAATAAATACTCTCTTATGCCTTACCAAAAATCATCATCCATGACAAGTCCTTCTCAACTTTTTCCCCTCCGTGAAATAAATGCCCAACAGAGCCATTATACATAATCGTCAAGTTTTACGACCTTTGCTTTCTTTCTTATTTTTTTTTCCAATTCTTCTTTGCTTGTATGAAACGTGAAGTAGTCATCAAAGTTACAAATATTCATCTTTGAAATAAATACTCATATCTCACTGTTTGTTTTTTTACTTGTTCACATGTTCTCTGTTTGTTCTGTGTCTTCCCCTGTTTGAGCTATATTCCCCAGAGTGCGTTTTAATATATATGTATATATATACACTTTTTAGTACTTCAATATAGTTGATCGTTTTCATAAAAAAAGAAAAAGAATGTAAATTCTGAAATGTAGACTTTGAAATCTAAATCGCTGGGGGGAGAAGGCTATGAAGTCTGAATCCAAATACTAAAACTTGTATTTCTGAGAAGCAAGGAATTTGGTGGGAATCATGTATCTTCTTTAATTTCTTGATCCGAAGGTCCATTTAAAATATTTGAAGAATGTGTCAGTCTTTGAAAACTATTAATATTGCCGGGACGATACTGCGCATAGAGAATTGGCTTGTCTCGTATTCTAATTCTTGACCCTTTGTATGCAAATTACTTCTGAGTCTAAATGGGATTGCAAAGCCATCTGATAATGGTAGACCAGCAGGTATTGTTTGAGTGATGAACGGATCATTCAAAGATCCTAAAACCATGCCGGTTAAATTGTGAAGGTAATAAGGTATTGATCCTGAAAGCTTGTTATGTGCGAGATCCAAAACAATCAACTTAGAGAGGCTACATAGCTGTGAAGGAATGTTGCCTCTACATTGATTAGATCTCAATTTCACTGCTGATACATTTTGTGGGATCCATTTTGGTATACTTCAGAAAAATTGTTTCCTTCCAGATTGATAAGTAGTAAAGATTTGAAGTTCTGGAAAGTCAATGGCATATCTACATAAAAGCCATTATGATGTAAACCGAGTATCTTAATCTCATTCAATAAACCTATTGTTGGAGGAACTTCACCACATAGCTTATTGTATTCTAAGTATATGTAAGACAAGCATGGCAAATTGTCCCAACAATCTGGAAGTTCTCCAGTGAAAAAATTATTTGATATATCCAAATACCACTACATATATTTCTCATCCTCAGTGTGACACAACAGAGACGATAAAGATCCAGAGAAAAAGTTGTGAACCAAATCCAAACCAGAGACATTTGCTGATATATGAGGAAGGTTGCCTTCTAATTTATTAAATGACATAAATATGAATGCATCGGTTAGCAACAAGTCTGAGATATCTCCACTGAGTTGTGAGACAAATCCAAAACCAAAGAGGGCTTCACAAGGCTTTTTGGAAGTGTATCACTCAAGTGATTGAAGCTAAGATCTAAAGCTGATAAAGCTTATGTGTTTCCAAGACTTGAAGGAATGCTGTTACCGAGTGAGTTATTAGATAGAATTATATTTTTTAAGTATTTGTGTTGACCTAACCAATCATGCATTGATCCTTCGAGTTTGTTGTCAGATAGATTTATGGTATGCAGGTTTTGATAGCCTGAAAAATCTGGAATCGGACCTCTTAAATTGCATTGGTCGAAGTAATTATAGGACAAGTCTTTACTAAGATTGAACAACCAACTAAGTAGTCCATATTAGACTAGGATAAACACCAGAAAGTGAGCTGAAGTTGACATCATTCTTAACAGAAGGAAAACTGAAGCTAGTCAAATGACAGTCAACTAGAACTACTTCCTCAAGAGATGGAGAAGCCAATAATTGAATGACTGTCAAATGACGGTCTCCATAAGAAGACGAAAACCACTGATCTTGAGAGTTGTCGAAGCCAATGAAGATCATCAAATTGAAGATGAAGATTGTAAGAAAAAGACAGGGTAGAAAGCTCAGAAAAATTTGCAGCAAGGGAAGTAGTATTGATAGGTTGCGTGCTTATGCGGTCAAAGTCATTGTAGTCCAAATACAAGGAATCCAGAAATTCAAGTTGTAGCAATGAAGATAAGTTGATTTCACCTCTCAAGGATTTTGGACTCTTTTGATTTGGACTTTGCAGATGAAGGGATATGACTCTGTCGTTGTAATCACACGAAACTCCTTCCATGTACAACAATCTTCAGTAGACCAAGAAGAGAGGCGGTTGAAGGATCAACAATGCCTTGTTTGAAGGTTAACAACAATGTCACTGCAAATAGCAACATCAACTAAACAAGAGAAGTTACTGAACTGAAACTAGTTTCCATGGTCTTAAATCAAGTTTTTCCAAAAGGTTTTGATCGGTAAGTGAAGGCTCTTGTTATTTCTCCACCGTAGTTTATAGTACTATCTACAAGTGAAGTCATTCTTTGACTATTCATGTCTAGGTTACATTATACAAGACTTATGACCAAGTCCAAGTCTTCTGTTGTTTCAATGGCAGTAGTGTTTTCATAAATAATGCATTAATTACCATCATCTATAGAGAAAGTGACACTTTGTTCCCAACAAGGATATTGGTGCACCTTGATCTCTTCAATTTTGAAAACTGTAACGTCACACGAATACTTGGTTCCCAGTTGCTGGAAAAGACCAAATTTCCATAATTCCATGACAGTGAATTACAATGGAAGCATTGTTTAGCAGTCTTTCATAAACTATTTGGAAATATACCATAATTCTCACTAGGAAGTGTAATGCAGATCACAAACCGGACCAATCATTAAACCGTTGAAAGCACCAAGTAGTTTAAAAATTAGTGATTCAATCATGGTGTAGCTGTAATCAGATCAATCATGATTAAAATGTTCAGAAATATTCATATATAACTACAAAAAGAACGTGATATTTAAATAAAAGTAAAGCGTATTACTTTGTACTAAAATTAGGGAGTTCTAATTAATATGCCTATATAGAAAAAAAATATAAGAACAAGATGATGGAACTTTTCGGTAATTAACAAATGATAATAAGCCATCTTCATGCACAAAGAGACACCTGAACTCTTTTTGAAATGTGATAAATAGATGCCAATACCTCAAGGTTGACACAGTAAGAGAGTGAACCAATACAAGAAAACCTTAGTATAAGAGGGATGGCTTAAAACCAATTGCTTTATGGGAAGCCAATTAATGAAGGATCAAAGAATGCAG